GATCAGGGCGTCATGGGGCTTCAGAAAAATATTGGTTCCGAGGTTTGTGGAGGGGGGGTGCACGGTGGACCCTTCTAGCTCCCGGACTACGCCACATTTTTGGCGAATAGCTGCAGAATAAATGCAAATTTAACCACGACATAAATGCTATAAATAATAGAATAAAAAAATGTTTAATTACTAGTAATAATGGAATCATAACAACAACATAATTAGATAATATAATAATTATAATATTAAATAATAATAATAATAATAATGATAATAATAATAATAACAACTAGAGCACTCGGAGAGCGCAGACCTCTGCCAAGGCAGCTGAATTATCTCACTGTGAAAAATTTTATTAATTAATTAATTAATTAAATAATTGATTGGATCCGGATCACCACCAAAATGCAATCAATTCTAAGTCACCACATTTCTGACCTATCCTGGAAATTTTATTAATTAATTCGATCCGGATCACCACCAAAATGTAATCAATTCTAAGTTACCCCATTTCTGACCTATCCTGAAAATTGTATTAATTAATTAATTAATTGGATCCGGATCACCACCAAAATCTAATCAATTCTAAGTTAGCCCATTTGTGACCTATCGTGAAAATGTTATGACAATCCGTCCATAACTTTTTTAGTTAGGCTGTACACAAAGAACGGTGTTACAAACCCACAAACGAACAAACACTCAAACGAGCAAACACACGCCGGTGAAAACATAACCTCCTGCCAACCCCTTGGCGGAGGTAATAACGTGTCTGGCTGGGGGGGGGGCGCATACCTTGCGGAAGGGCGGCCACTCCTCGTCGTGGTCCTGCTGGTTCTCGTGTTCGCTCAGGAAGAATGGGGCAGTGTTCAGCTTGTAGAGCAGCTTCATCGCAATGCCCGACACGTCCCAGAAGCGCACGACACCGTCCTCATGCCTGCAGACACACGCCGATGTTACCACGGTTACACGCGCAGACGATGTTACCACGGTTACACGCGCAGCTGATGTTACCACGGTTACACGCGCAGCCGATGTTACCACAGTTACACGCGCAGCCGATGTTGCCACGGTTACACGTGCAGCCGATGTTACCACGGTTACATGCGCAGCCAATGTTACCATGGTTACACGCGCAGCCGATGTTACCACGGAAACGCGCAGCAATGCTACACACGGCAATACTGTACAGTAATGCTGTACACTACGTTAATTACCATGGCAATACTGTAGAGCAATGTGTCTGCAGGCACGCACGTGCAGCCGATGTTACCACGGATACACACAGTAATACTGCAGAGGCCGTTACCACGACATAATGTATAGCAATGCTCCACACAACGTTACCATGGCAATACTGTATAGGAATGTCGTGTCTGCAGGTAGTAACACAGAGGCAGACGATAATGACGCGACCAGGTGAGCTGTTCATGAGCTGAGAGTTCATGGGCTGTTCTGAGGCTGAGAGTTCATGGGCTGTTCTGAGGCTGAGAGTTCATGAGCTGTTCTGAGGCTGTGAGTTCATGGGCTGTTCTGAAGGTGTGAGTTCATGGCAATGTCGCGGCAGATAACAGAAACCTACGACCTGTCCTGCTCTATCAGGAGGAGCTATGATCGAGGATGATCTGGAATCTTTACTGGATACGGGTATCAGGTTTTCTGTAACCTGCTGCCTTACGTATGAGGAATGCGGTCACCTACCCTGTAAGCAGCAGCTCCCTCTTGGTGACCTCCTCGTTCAAGCTCTTCCCACCAGTTATCGGCCAATCCTGCAATCACACAAGAGAATAATTTCGTTAGCAAATGATATTAGGTGTCAAAGACACCAGACGATTCTAGTTCTACACGAATCATATACACACTCACATGTGACTCATTGTCTAGCCACCAGAATGCACATGCATAACTATGCTTGAACGCACGCACGCACGCACGCACGCACACGCACGCACGAACGCACGCACGTAGGAACACACACACGCACGCACGCACATACATGCACACACACACGCGCGCACACGCACACACGCACGCACGCACATACATGCACACACACACACGTACGAACACACGCACGCACACGCACGCACACACGCACGCACAGTCGCACACACGTACGAACACACACACGCACGCACGCCCACACGCACAGCCATCACCAACCAGATAACACTACAGCTACTACTACTTACTACTACTTCCTATATGGGCCGTGTAACCGTGAGTGAACTACTTACTACTACCTACTACTACATACTACTACGTACTACTACTACATACTACTACTGCCACTACTACTACCACTACTACTGCTACTACTACGTACTACTACTTACTACTAGTACCACTACATAGTACTACTATATAGTACTACTACTACGTACTACGGCTTACCCGTGGTGAATGGATGCTACCCTGCTTCTCGCCAGCGGCGGCGATGTTGTTCCAGAGAGCCTCGGGCACGTTGCTGCAGTGCGTCGTGCACATGATGGCCGACGCGTGCGGGCTCTGCAGGTAGGGCAGCTTAAAGGTCGGCCATCCGTCCGTCTCAAGGTCGATGAGCACGACCTCCTCGTCGGCGAGCACGACGAGCGTGTGCGGGTCGTCGTGTTCTGCAAACGAGCGGCGGCGGCGACAACGTCAACGACACGACAACGCAGACACCGGCGCCACCGTGAGGCCATAAACAACATCGCACTGGCGCCACCAAGATACCATAAACAACATCTCACTGGCGCCACCGTGAGGCCATAAACAACATCTCACTGGCGCCACCAAGATACCATAAACAACATCGCACGAGCGCCACCAAGATACCATAAACAACATCTCACGAGCGCCACCAAGATACCATAAACAACATCTCACTGGTGCCACCAAGATACCATAAACAACATCGCACTGGTGCCACCAAGATACCATAAACAACATCGCACTGGTGCCACCAAGATACCATAAACAACATCTCACGGGCGCCACCAAGATACCATAAACAACATCTCACTGGCGCCACCAAGATACCATAAACAACATCTCACTGGCGCCACCAAGATACCATAAACAACATCTCACGAGCGCCACCAAGATACCATAAACAACATCTCACGAGCGCCACCAAGATACCATAAACAACATCTCACGAGCGCCACCAAGATACCATAAACAACATCGCACTGGCGCCACCAAGATACCATAAACAACATCTCACTGGCGCCACCAAGATACCATAAACAACATCTCACTGGCGCCACCAAGATACCATAAACAACATTGCACTGGCGCCACCGTGAGACGGTAAATGTCATCATGGTGGCGCCACCATGTTATGGGCAACAGCATCACACCGGCCCCACCATGAGACCAATTATGCTATTACATGCAAACACTGGCCATCAACTTCAGGACATGCAGAGATGAGTACCACCAATGGACTATAAACGACTGAGCAAGGTATATATGCCATCTAACGTGACACTAGCTATACATTAAACAAGAGCCGCAGAGCGTCTGGGCTCATCTGAGGTCTGTTGCTACGATTATAAACGTATAAATTTCATTCGTGCGTAGTACCACATT